ATTTACCTTGTCCTTGGATATTTTCACTAAGCATCCTGGCCCCAACTACAAAGGCACAATACTCAATCTCTTCATTGATAGCACATCATTCTGTCACCCAGAGTCACCAACTCCAGTAGGTAAGATTTCACTTTATAATTTAAGATACCCAATTTCATACCCCTAAGATTCTCAATATGAAGGAATTCTATGATGACAATCACATCCTTGCATCCACACAAGTGACCCCTCAACCCAGCAAAGACAATAGTGCTTTTCCCATTCTGACAGCACAGCAAACCCAATTCAAAGAAGAGAAAGAAAGGTGCCAGCACCCACACACACCTGTTCTGATGGCTCTCCACCTTCTTTTAGTGTGGCTCCAGGGACCTGCCCCAGAGTACGTCCTCTTAGAACCTGACAAAGTCCAGGTGCCACATCTACCAAGACTCACCTGGCTCTCAAATCTATAGCCAGTTAGTTACCTTTACAACTGCTGGGCCTCCATGGAGCTGATTCATTAGGGCAAAGTACAGTGCAGCTACGGTAGGCGGGAGCAGACCTGACTTGGCGTATTTACTCAGAACCTGGTCAAGGACTGGTGTTTCTGTTAGCTTGGTCCTGGACTGAGCAAGCTCCAATCCTATGAGAATACAAGTGCAAACACGGAAGAGGGACACCAAGGAGAGGAAGCCCAGAATGCCCTGAGGCAGCCTGGTCTGCAGGGCAGAGCACTGCCTTTGGGGTGTGGACTCCTGGCTCTGTCACTGGCTAACTCTGTCACTCAACTTAAGTCCGTTTCTCTTCCTATGATACTTGACTGCTGAGGGTCACCACAACAAGAGAATGTAATAAATAAACGGCTGTACAAACAAGGGCACGCTAAAAGCAGGCACAGTCTTTTCTCTTCGAAAGGTTTGAGCTGATTGCACTGACTGAGGCAGTCAATAAATAATACAATAAAATAATAATAAACACTGGATTGCCTGGTGTGAGTTTTGCTCGTTCATGCTTCCCCTCACTGGATTCTTGTCGTATAATCGATTCTGTTATCTCACTGAAGGAAGATTTCAAGTCCCAAGATTGAACTGAAGGCGCTGAAAAGCTTTCTATTATAACAAGAAAGTAATTCCTCACATTTGAAAACTACATTTCTTCACTTTATTAAACAGAGCAGTTCATTTCTCTTTTAGAATGCACATTTTAAATTTCACATCTTGCTCTAGAAAGGCCCAATGGTTTATTATTTCAACAGACTTGCTTGTTTCGCCACACTAAGGATTGAACCCAGCATTTACGCGTGCTAAGTAACAGCTCCACCTACCATTGGAGCTGTATCTTCAGTCTACTTTTCTGTGTTTTGAGACAGGTTCTCACTAAGGTGCCCAGGTTGGCCTTGAATTCATTCTATAAACAAGGTGGGCCTTAAACTTGCTGTCCTCCTACCTCAGCCTCTTGAGTAACTAAGATTGCAGGCCTTTGCCACCAGGCCTGGCTCAACAAACTCTTGACTGAGTTCCTGTAATGTGCCAGCATTTGCCATACATAAATATGAAAGACACCATTCATGCCTTCAAACAGCTTAGAGCAAATTAGCCTCCCATGCACTTCCTAGTCTGGGGAAAACCACTGTTGTTGGTTTCATAGTTAGATAAGAGATGTATCTAAGCCTTAAGACTTTCTGTCTACCTCTCACCTGACTCTAGCACCTAGCAAGACAGCATAAAATTCTCAGACTGTGGTGATGTTTTCTTACCTCACTGCTGGGCCATGAAGTCTGGTTTTCTAGTAGTTGCATTGAAGCTTTTAATCTCTCTGGGAAGAGGTGCTGGAGAAGGACACATACATTGACAGCAGGAATCAGTACATTGTTAATTATCATACAGACTATATCAAATTATGGTCTGATACATTACAATAATAGTCATAAAACCCTGACATAACACTTTTGGCTTGTAAGATGGTATTAGACCTACCTTATAACATCAGCTCCATTACTGCGATGATAACTTTGAAAAGGATCATAGAGATTATTTGAGCAATTTCTATTTTTTTAATGCTAAAACTAAGAACCACAGAATAGTAATTTATGTAAGATTACAAAGCTAAGTAGAAGCCCAATGAGAAACATATGTGCTATAGCTTCCTTGCATGGGACTGACAAAAGCTGATTATTAAATATTCAAGAATTGTGGGAGCAGGCCATTAAATCATGAGTAATTTTAAATTCACCATACTGGTAGTGTTTACACCACAGAAGCTAGTGAATGCTATACCAGAATATTGGTGTTTGTTTGTTTGTTTGTTTGTTTTTCAGAAAACAAGTTTACTAATGTACTGAATTCAAGTCAAAACTCTTAGTTCTTAATTCTGTGTTGGTTCCATTACAGGGCTGTCATTCTGTTACTTGCCTCTGCTGCATATTTCTAGTTTAAACATCTAGCCCAGTTAGTCCAAATGCTCCTTTTGTGACATCCCAAAGCTTCTCTAATTATCTCAAGAGTTATTATAAAATTCCTCAAACACTCACCAACCAAAATTAATTTTAATTAGCTTTAATTATTTTATATAGACTCATGGCATACAACAATTTAAATGGGTCACAGAATGAAATAGATTGTGGTGGGATCACATCACCCCAGAGCATTTGGGATTTCTCAATCCCTGATTTCTCCAGCCTCGGATATCTACAGTTACCAAGTCTTTCATCCCAGTAGCTCAATTCTTGGTTTCTAGACCAAATTTATCCAGCTCAACCCTGCTTTCAGAGCTCAGTTCCTACCAGGAGGTGAACAGAATTAGTCTTGTCACCACTCTTGGCTCTGTTTACAATTCACTTTCATGAACCTATAGACTCCCTCATGCTGTAACAGTTACTTTCTTTACACTGTTTCTGCCCCAGTGCCCTGGCCTCATACCTGATTCTTGCTCTGCATCCCAGATACCAAACCAAAAAGAGCCTTGGGAGTTTAATAATTTGTGTGAATTTCAGTTCCTACTCTCTGTCCTCCTTTCCAAAGGCCAGGTTACTGTCTAGGGTCTCACATCACCAGGAGTAACTACTGGTATATAAACTAAATGTTATTTTCTCCAAAAATTGGCAAGTTGAAATCCTAACTCCTACTGTGATGGAGTTAGAGGGTGAGGCCCCTGTAAAGTAAACAATATATAAATAGAACTTTTGTGAGTGGGATTAGTGCCCTTATGCAAGGATCCCAGAGAGTCCCCTTAAACTGATTTTGGAACTCCCAGGCTCTAGAAATGTGAGAAATAAATGTATTTTGTTTTAAGCCACCAAATGTGTTAAATTCTTTATAGCAGCTTGAGCTAGCTAAGACACTAACCTGGGTTGAACTGTGTTTAACAAAAGTTTCATCACTGCTAATAACATTGATAAATCTCCAGCCATCAGCTAGAGCTAATGCATATAAATGCCCACCCAGGTCCAGGTCAGGCTTGCCATGAATGCCCAAGTACTGTGACCTACAGACTGATTAGCCTTGTAAGAAACAACTCAGCAGATGAGACGTTCCCCCAGGCTTGACCTTCTTCCTTTACTAAAATTTAAAGTTTAGAAAGCAGACTGAGAAGCTCCATGTCAACATGTTAGCTGTGTTATCTCCATGGTTTACATGATTTTATTTCATTTTCTTGCTTATTCCTGTTATCTAATTTTTCTACAATAAGTTATATATTATTTGAAAGGATAAAAAAATCGATGTTTTAATCAGTATTATATCCAGGTGAGTTGTCAGATTGGCAACTAATCAGGCACCCAAGTTACTAAGTAGGCAAATGATTCCCCCAAAGTTTCCCGGGTTGATTAACTGTATCAAGTCTGCTGTTCTCAGCACAGTTTGAACCATTCATTCACAAAGCAAGTGCGTGTTGAACACCTACTGGATACCCAACCTTCTCACATGCATTGGAGTCCATATAAAAATAGTATATGATTCCTGCCCTAAAGAAGCTTTCAATCCAGTGACACAGCAGACAGTGGCATATGCAGGTGTTAAACAGATGCTGCACTGAACTTTTTAGTGAAAGGAAGCATAGAGTAAAGCATAGGACAAAAAGAAAGAGGATTAGTATTCAAGGCTATTTGACAAACAAGCAAGAAAATAAATGTCTGAACTAGAGCAGCTTTGGAAAAACTGAAGAGGGGGCAAGTAGAAATATACACACATTATACAATAAGAAAGAATATGTGCAACGTAGGCAAGTACTACATATTTTAAGGAATAGAATCAACATGAAGTGATGCTCAGTTGATTGGAGAATATGAAGAGAAGTCAAGGACAATATCCAGAGATGAGATAGTGCTAATATATATTTGTGTGTGTGTGTGTGTGTGTGTGTGTGTGTGTGGTATGTGTGTGTGTGTGTGTGCCTATTTGGTAGGAAAGATGATAAAGTCAGTGGGACACAAGTTAGTATAGCCAACAAGGAATTGGCTGTGATGGACTGGAGCCCAAGATAGAGTATTAAGAGGAGCAATATGGTGGCTCAAGTCATAGGCATGGGTAGTATGCCCAAGAAAAGCTGAGGATTAGAAACAAGTCTGCTGAAGGAAGCCAGAAAAACACCAATGTCTAAGAGCTGGACACAGCAAAAGGAGCCTGGGACAGGTAAGAAGGAAGTACCAGATAAATATTCTGAGAACTGGGAGAGGTCAGTTCCCAGAATGCAGAGGAGGCGATGGCTTCAAACTAGGAGAGCAGTCAACAATGCGAAATTTAGGAGGAACATTGAGAAAAGCAACAGATGAAAGAAATAGAAAATGGAAAGCAAAGAAAAGAAGACAGAAAGCATAACTTGTGTGTAGAAATGGGGCTGGGGCTATAAATAAGATGAGGTTTGAAGAATCTGTTTAGAGTGGACAAGACAAAACAAATATACTAGTTTATAGTGGGGGGTGCAGACACTGAAAAGAACTGCAGGTACTGAGGGAACAAATCACAGAAGAGACGTGGGTTCCAGGATAAAGGAACAAACATTTGAACCTCTTTAAGAGGAGGGACTCATACTCCTCTGAGAAAGTGATCAAGAAGGGGAAGATGGACATAATTGGAGACAAGTTTACACTTGTAGAACCCAAGATAAAGAATTCTTTATGGAAGAGAATGCTAAGTTTCACTGGCTACCTCTAAAAAGCACTCAAGAAACATTAAGAGACTTGCAATGGCCTGTGTGGAAACCATGAGTGAGCTTCAAGTAGGAACATAGCCTCAAGCAGAAAGTGAATGAAATGGTCCATTACTGGACAACTACACCAGCTTTCACCTCCATAGGGACATCACTTTCTGTGCTTGGTTCCATACTGTATCTGCAGTGTCTAACAACATGCCTGGCGTATGATGACAGCTCAATTAAGTTTTATTTATAAATTCCTTAAATGTAGAAGAGCAACAGCTTACACTATGATTTTATTCAATTGTTTTCATCATGAATATTGAATTACACTTTGAAAGAGTGCTTTAATAAAAATAAAAGAGAACGTTGAGGCCATTTAAGGGAGGTAGCCAAAGAGTAGATAAATTGTGTTATACAGGATGCAAATGAAAAACAGACACAAATTATCTGCATATCTTTTTAAACTGAGGTCATTAGCTATAACTGAGAGGCACATTCCAATATGACAGTGAAAGAAAACTGCTAAATTTCAATAATAATTTTTTAAACTCAGTCCAAGTAGGGAAGACTGGATAGTTTCCATACTGTACTTGCAGTAATATCTGAGGCATTGTGGCTCTTTATAGTAAACAAACATCTCACCATCTCTGACTCCAAGAATGAATCAAGGGATAAAGGACTCATGGAGGGTGGCCTCCTGACTCCAGCAAAGTCAACACCAAAGCCAACCTAGAAATAAGGATCTTGTGGCCTCAGCTCATGTCTTTTCCTTCTGGTAAACTGGATGTCAAGCAAGGGGCAGAGCAATGTGCTGATCAACAGTTCCAACTACCAGGACATGAAGTGCCAGGAAAAAATGGTGCCTGTGCCAGAAACAATTAACCTGGCATGAGCATTGTGAGCCACCACTGCCAGTCCTGGGACTTATTGAAGCCTAAGAAGCAAAGGTTTGGCACAATCTTGACTTCTACCAGACCAAAGAACCTTATAAATGAGA